TGCTTTGTCTTATTTCTGTGTTCAGAACAAAAAAAAAATGCATATGTTATCTTCATCACATATTTTGATTGGGTCAAAATCTCATCAACTATATAAAAAAAAAAAATTCTCACTTTATTTTTGACACATCATCAATCTGTAAAAAAATATGTAAATGATGATGTATAACAAATATTTTTTTAAAATAAAAGGAATAATAATAATGGTCTTAAAATAATAATAGTTTTAATACTGGCCAGCCCAAAGAGCTGAGCATGTCATTTCAAATTTATTTTCTTCCAACATTCAGATACGAGTTAGTGTAAAATTTTGCAGCTTATTCTCTCAGAAAAGAAAAAAAAAAGTATATATATATGCATAATAAATAGCGTTAGTCCTTTATCTTTATATGTCCCTCGAAAATCATAATCATGCCTCTGGAACTGTGATTTTCCACCAATTAGATGTAATAATTGTGAGCTAACATTATGATGTAAAGAAAAATATCATATAGTTGCCAAAATAAGGTGCTTTTATCATTCCATAAAGCAAAGCCAACAGAGAGGACTCAACAAATGTAGTTTCATAACTGGACAAAGGTTAATAAATTGGTATTTAGTAAAATTTCACCAAATCATAATTGCAACACCATCGTTTCCTATTGCTCCCAAACAAGAGCTCAAGCAACTTCTATACGCACTGAAAACCAGTTCTCTTACCACTTTCCCCACCATCATCTAATGCAGTTTCTCCAGTAGAGAGTTCCCCATCTCAAGTAATGACTCCGAAAATTCTGAAAGGAAAAATATCAAAGTGATGATTTTTGCAAAAAATAAAGCAATAGGCATTCAGTCAGCTACATAAAGTTCTACGTTTACACATCTTAGTGTCCCAAGCTAAATATTTCCGTTATGAAGTTCTTTTCCTCTTCCAATCACTTAACCATATGAATTTGTAACTGCAATGAGACTTATGGAACATATAACATTTAGGATCTTTTTTACTTAGCTTCTTTTATTAATGGATAATTTTGAGAATTTGATAGCAAAGAAATCACAATATAATAATGACAGCAAAGAATTTGAGATCAACTAATATTCAGATAGAACTTAATAATGACCCTGAAGAAATCATAATATAATCCTGAAATCCTTTAATCAACATTGATATTTCATCAGAGCCAAATTTTCAAGATTCAGTTATCAATCTTAGCATAGAAAGAGTCAACATAAATATAGAAGCAAACCAAACCCAACGCAAACATCACAAGCTACTCCAATCATATCATGGTCCATAATATCTTATCATACATATTACTAAATAATTCATTCTACTATCCAATTTAGGACATAATAGAAAACAAGAGGCCTTGTTTAGATACCAATCCCGAAACTTTTATATACATCAAAAATCTGTCTAATAAAAACATGGCTAAGTTCTAAATTGCAACAAAAGCAATCATATCAATCAAAAAACTATTTTCTGCAATACTACCTTCGAGAGGCCCTACGATGGCCGTACAAGTGTGGACGACTAATTTACAATTTTCACAAGATGTTCGGGATCCCATTTCCTCAACCTCTCATGCTTCTCCTTCTCCCACCTCTTCTGCCTCCTGGACACCCCATTCCCACTGGGGCTTGTTCTGTTAGCCAGATACCGATAAATTTTCCACATCAACCGGTTAGGCGGTGAGCCACACACATTCTGATGATTTTCTCCTCGGAACTTGGCACCTTCCTGAACCCGAAAGATCCCAAATTTTCCTCCACTACCATGTGGCATTTGCCCATGAAACTCACATTCACCTGAATCAACTCATTCTCCAAAAAACCCAACTTCTCCGAGTCCTTCAGTAAATCATCAAATTTGATTCTCAACCAGCCATTTGCAAATTGATATAGCACAGTTGAAATTTTGCAAATTTATATCAAATAATCAGGATCTGAAACCGTTCCTAATCAGGATCTAATCATGATCTACCAATTCCTCACTTTCAGAAACCGTTCTATCAATTCCACCTCCACCTCCACCTCCACCTCCACCTCCACAACCAGCTACCCTTCCCCCTACGAATTCAACCTCAAATTCCACTTCCACCACCATCTACCCTTCCCCCTGCGAATTAACCACCCCAACTAGTATCCAACCCCCCTCAGATGCGAAATCTTGATTCAAACTGCCCGTCGTGACACCCTTTCGATTCGGCTAAACCAGACCAAACAGCCCTTGCTTTGAAGATCCCGTATCGAACCAGTTGTCCCCGTTCAACGCGATTTGCAGTCGATTTTTGGTGGTGGGTTTGTAAGAAGAATTCGATTTACAGGGAGAGTGAGAGAGTTCAGAGAGAGGGAGAGAGTTGTGGGTTTTGTTTCGCATGTTTGTTGAAATTGGGTTGTTTTATTGAGGCATTTTACAAAACGATGTTTTCCTTGTTTTGAGTTTTTTTTATTTTTAAATTTTCGAAATCGCATTTTTGAAAATAAGATATAGAACATATTTTCGCTGTTTTAAAAAATTAAAAATAGGAAACGGGTGAAAAACGAGCACAGGGCGTTAGTGATTCCATTTGCTCTGTTCCACCCTGTACAGTTCTGCCTGAACCTCCAAACAATCGATTTGCCCAAATTTTCATATCCCTACTCCATTAAACCAAAACCTCTCGGAAAAAGGAAAAGACAAAAATGAGCGTGATCGATCTATTGACTCGCGTAGATGCGATCTGCAAGAAGTATGATAAATACGATATAGAGAAACAGAAAGATTCCAACGTAGCTGGGGATGATGCCTTCGCCCGTCTCTACGCTGCCGTTGACTCAGACATAGAGGAGGCACTACAGGTTTCAGGAATTTTGGAATTAAACCCTAAATTCTTTGTAACTTTTTTTAATCGTTAATGGGTTTTGATCTGTTTATTGTTTATTGTGTAATCAAATTTGGTAGAAAGCGGAGAAGGCTTCCGGAGAAAGTAATCGTGCATCGGCCGTTGCGATCAATGCAGAGATTCGGAGAACCAAGGCTAGATTGATTGAAGAGGTCCCTAAATTGCAGAGGCTGGCCGTGAAGAAGGTTTGATCCGCTCTCGCGTTTTTAAAATTCTGTTTGTTATGCCCATTTAGATTGAATAATTTTTTTGACTGATTTTTTTTTTTATAATTTTACTTGTTACTGTTAATTTTTGACAATTTATGTTTCCAATAAAATTTTAGGGACGAGTAAAGTGGGTTTTACATTTTAATTTGCAATCTTCCACCACTTCTCATTTTCCTTCTCGTTGCTGGCTTTGTCCTGGCAAATAATGAGAATTATTAGTTAATTCAGAAGTTGTGCCTAGTGATACTTCATTACCTAGTAAACTTCAGAATTTCTTTGTGGATCTGTCTCCTATTTTTCCTTCTGAGCAATATGGTAATCTTGAAAAAAAGTAAAAAACTAGGCTATAGGTTAAAGCACAGAACTGGACTGAAAAGAACCAAAACGAGAACCAGTTTGTGGAATGGGCAAGTTGCACATTCACATTAGATTGTGTCTTACACGAACCTAGCACGCATGTTTTGCATGTGTATATAAAATTCATTCTTATGACAAGATCAGTACATTTTTTAAGAATGCTATATATTTTAGCTTTGAGTAGTTAGAGCTTAGATGCGTTAGTATTGTGTTCAATGCGTAGAAAGCCAAGCATGGGCTGGTGTCATATATTTACCTGTATTACTATTATAGTTTTTGTCATTTGTCTGCTTCGTTGTGTTGAGTTGAAGCTTTACCTATGCAAAATGTTGACTGTGGAACTTTGTGGCAACGTGGATTTGTTCATCACTATGTAAGTAATTTAGTGCTTGTGAGTGAGTCAAGGTTTGAATAAGAATTAGTTGGGAGCACAGGGCACAGCTTCACTCAAGCCCACAATAGATGGTTAAAGAAATGGTTATCACTCATGACTCATTAGTCTTACCTGAACTTAACTAAGCATGATTTTTCATTTGATAGGAATATAAGCAAAAGGCTGTGTTCCCGTGTAGTTCATTTGTGTTCTCATCTTTTCTTCCATCCCACGCTGTTGTTTGACAGAAGAGAGGCCTCTCTATTAGAGGAGCCCTGGAGATTCCCTATAGAACATTCTTTTCGTAGTATTTGAAATCTGGAACTCCTTTCAATGGATTCCCCTTGCCTCATAGATTCACTCGACGAGTGGGAAACATAGCGATGGGTTTTTGAACTCTGTAGGCCCAAAGAGTGACATTTGGGCCTTGTTTGAGCCTAATTATTGTAGAATGAGAATGAAAAATATAGTTGTTATTGGCCCACATAAGAGAGAAAATTTGAATTTAAATGTTGACATGATAGATAATGGTCATATTTTTCATTTCAATGAGATAATTATGTAGATCAAACGGGGGCTTGAACTGAAAAATAATGCATGATATTTTAGATAAAGTAGAAGTTCAAACTATGGAATGGATATAAAGAGGTCGTTGCATGAATCATAGATAATAGTGAATGGAGGGGATATTCAGAAAGAGGGATTTTACCACATTTTGATTGCGGCCTGCAGGTTAATATTTTTGAGGAAGACATTTTCTCTTGGTGCTTTGAGCAGGTAGGAAGGCGGGACGGAGGGTTAGAAAACTGAAACCTGGGACTAAATGGAGAGGATATTCAGAGAGACGGATTTTAGAAAACTGAAACCTGGTGCTAACTTTTGCTGAATTAATTCCTAATCCAATTATGCCAAAGGTTTGGAACTAGAGACTTGCAAATTTTTTATCTGGTCCCTATATAACAAAGTATTTCCCTGCCAAAACAGCCTTTAACAGGTAATAGTGTGATGTATGAATCAAGGCCCTGGAAATTCCAACGAGTTTTAAATTATAAATTGAGAAAGGCCTCTGCATTGTGATGCTTCAGCTGCTGATGCATTTTCATCTTATCGTTACTTTCATTGATGGTGCCAAAAAGTTGATAAACCCAGATCTATAAGCATTTTGTAAAATTTGTCCTTGTATGGAACACTTAATGGAAGCTACTTATTTGGTGGCTTTCTTCGCCAAGAAGGTTTGCTTCCTGGATTCTTGCAGACACACACAACTTCACGTGCTTTTTATGTACGGCTTCATGCTGTTTTTGAGCATGTGATATTTGATAATGCAACGTGTTCTATTGAAAAGATAAAGATAGAGAACTGCTCCACGCCTTTCGTTTTTGCAATGCAAGAAACAAAACCTAGATATATGAAATAGCAAGTGAAATCATAATATGAGTTCGTCTTTATACTCTATGCCGTGAAAGTAGATTTGGCTGTAACATTTACTTTTTTAAAACGATATCTTGATAAGAGTATGATAATTATATTTTCAACCAGAAAAGGGTGTAAAATGTTGACTTTAGGGAATATTTTGAAATCTAGCGATGCTGACAAGTAGTGAATAGTTATATTTTTTGAGGCTGTTTGATTTAACCAGGATGGTGATTTTGCTTGGTATTTTGAGATAACTTGTTGACTGACTGAGGCATTTCAGCTTTGCTCCTTCAATATCAATGGTTAGATGAGTAAGCATGTTGCTCAGTTAACTTTGCTATATAGTAATGCTTCTTCTACTCATTTATCCTTGAATTGTGATGAAACTCTTTCCGGTGTGAGGTCAATAAAACAGTCATTGGTTTTTCTTGCCATGGGCATTGTCTATGTTGTTTCTACCTGTGTTTGATCCTTAAATAAGTGAGTAATGAGTAATAGTCCGACGTTTTGAGTTCGCTTCCGTGATGATGATGGTTTAAATTGCAGGTTAAAGGACTTTCAGCGGAAGAACTTGCTGCTCGTAATGATTTGGTACTTGCATTACCTGATAGGATTCAGGCCATACCAGATGGTGCTGCAGCTGCACCCAAAAAAACTGGTGGCTGGGGATCTTCGGCTCCTCGTACAGAAATCAAATTTGATTCAGGTTATTGATTGACATAAGTGGTTTATTAGTTTGATCTTGTCCTACACGTTCAACTCTTTTTCTGGAGAAGCTTCAGCCTTTTGCTTCGTTGTCTATCTTACGTATTGAACTTGAATTCTAGATGGACGGTTTGACAGTGAATACTTTCAGCAAACTGAAGGGTCAAGTCAATTCAGGCAAGAGTATGAAATGCGGAAAATGAAACAGGCATGATCTTTAGTGAAATAGTATAGTGTAGACTTATTTGGGGATGCTTTTGGTAATTATTGTTAGTGAATTGTCATTATTAACTGGTCTTGTTTGCGATGTGATGTCATCTTGATGCAGGACCAAGGTTTGGACACGATAGCAGAAGGTTTAGATACTTTAAAAAACATGGCACATGACATGAATGAGGTTTCCTTTTTTCTGTTATATTTCTGTTTTTCGTTTTTTGGCTTCCATTTTTATATATGTTGTTCCCTGATATTCATTGATAGTAACTTCCAATGCTATGATTCGTGCAGGAATTGGATAGGCAAGTTCCTCTTATGGATGAGATTGACACAAAGGTAGAAATTCTCATTGTCTTGTAATTTTAAACAGCAAGACCGGAGTATGTATATTCTGTCTGGGAAGTGCTATGTGTACATAATAATNTTTCTAGCAAAAGCAAGTGAATCAAAAATTTAACCAAGTCTTAAACATGTAAAATAAAACAAATGCGCAACAAATTATGCAACTGTAAATTGCAACTGGAAAGGACAGTATGGAAGATCCATATTGCAATTAGATGCATGTAACGACAAAGCATGAGCTACATGAATGATATTAATGGTGTAAAACCATACATATTATCACATTAGAAACAATCATGGTATGCAAAAACCCTGCTGAGGCCCGCCTCACTGTGAGGCGCAGCTTCTGTGCCTCGAGGCTCAATCTGTGAGGCACAAAAAATGAGGCGCAAGCCTCTACATCTAAGGCAAAAAAAATGAGGTGTGCGCCTCATTTGAAGTACGTTTTTTTCAGATTTTTGAAAAGGAATTAAAAAAGACCCTTTTTAAAAAAGAGAAGGGCCCATTGAAAAAGACATTTTGGACCAAACAAAATATTATAATATTTAGAATACCAAAAGCCAGCCAGAAATTCTTCTACACGGCGGACAGAAATCTTCCTAGATGTCCAGAACTACACGGCAGTCAGAAATCTTCCAGAACTAAACGGTAGCCAGAAAACTTATCTTCAATCCTTTGTTTAAAAGAGGTCTTAAAGTGCTGCTTCTATGTATATTTTCTCCTTTGCTTCTGCCTTTTTCTAGTGACTTACAATTTAAAATTGTTTCACTAGACTTTGTTTGGCTTTTTTCTTGTTCAGTGCATCGACGCCAGATTGCACCTGTTCTGTTCGGCAGATTACACTTGTTTTGTTTGTGGTGAGGCTTACGCCTCAAAACGTTTTGAGGCTTACGTCTCGCCTCATGACAAAAAAAGGCCTCAGTACCCGTTTACGTTTTTTCAAACTATATATATATATATATGCCCCAAACACATGACAGGTTGATCACCAAAACTTTCTCATCAAAGTGTTTATTGCACAGAGCTGCATTTTTGTATTGGTCCAAAGTACTAGTGGATGGCAAGTGCCTAATTTGGTCTCATCCTTGTTGGTAGTAAGCAGAATTCATGACGTTGTAAAAGAGAATTCTAAGCTATTATGTTACTTACAGGTGGACCGAGCAACATCTGACCTTAAGAATACCAATGTCCGACTGAAGGACACTGTTAATCAGGTGATTGAGCTGCAGCTCTTCAATTTTGATTTGCATTAATAACTTGCTGTACCCCTCTGAACATATTTTTAACCCTCTACTGTATTAAATTGGAGTTTTGTTTTGTTCCAGCTGAGATCTAGTCGAAATTTCTGTATTGACATCATTTTGCTGTGTATAATTCTGGGAATTGCTGCCTATTTGTACAAGTAAGTTCTAAGTTTTGCTCTTGTTCATGTGAAGATCTTCAGTGAACCTCAGAAACTCCCTCTGTTCCCTGTACATGTCAAAAACATTATTACAGTTTGTACAACACGAAATGGTCAACGAACTAAAAATTTGAATATTAAATATATCTCAGATGCATTTAATGGTTTTGAACTCGAATGCTACATTATTCTTTCTTCGGGATTTGGCTTGTTGAGATCTGTTATAATACTTAAATAGATGTGTGCTGATAAACTGTTTCTTTGCAGTGTGTTGAAGAAGTAGAAGTGGTTGGGAGAGTGCCGGTTGTGACTGTATGGAGTCTTTGGTATTGTTTTCACTGAGTGAGTTGTTCACATATGGTTCTTTGTATAATTGTTTGATTTTCATGTTGGCATAACTTGTTTAAAATTCTGCTCCTTTTTAAAGTTTCTTTGATAACTTTGAAATACTATTTGATCTTTTACCTTCCATATAATGGTTTGATGGCAGCTCATGTTAGAATTTATTTTATTTATTTTTTTATTTTTTTTTTATGTGGGTAGTAAGCTGTGGGCTATAAAATATGTTGATAAAAGGGGTATTTGACCGGCTTAAATAATAATGCCAATATGCACTTAACGTACTCGTTTTTTATCCCCCCGAGATTTTCTTCGGGATTTTCTCTTTTTCATACAAAAATAGACTTCATAGTATCCCATCAATTATATAGACCCTTTTTTGATTTGTGACATAGTTAAAAACGTATGTAAAAGTATTTCCTCTTCTTAATAAGCAAACATTCGTGCTCATGAAATTCAAATTAATTGGTATGTGTTGAAGTTGGTGCATTTGATACCATCTTATTTTTATAAACGCGCACGTGATTGGTCCCACAAAATTAAATTGCTTACCATTGGCGAATTTGCAACTCGTGTGTTGTTTTTGTCAATTTTGTTAGTATCACGGTGAGAAAACCAAGAAAACTTTATTTTGAATGACATGGAATTTATTTTGTATTCACTCGTTATTTTAATGAATCATTAAGTAAATACTTACTTGAAATCTCACTTTTCACGGTAAATTGTATGAGATACAATTTTTTATCCATGTATGATAAAAAGGATACAAAATTGTTTTAACAATTGTTGGTGATTCCCACCATTTGATTGGTGATTTTCTCGAATCAAAAATCAATCCTTTATCCTTGGAATTTTCTCCATTATTACTTTTTATCATAAATTATCCGCACTAGGGGTTGATAATACTATTTAGGCGCTTCGAAAATGCTAAAAGTGAAGAGTGGCACTTGGAGTACAGGCAATTTGTATAGGCAAGACACATGTCGAGGCTTGCACAATTTTTATTTTTATTTTAATACATATGGGGCGCACCCCCTTGTAAGGGGCCTGTAAGGCCCTTGTTAAAACTGCCCCTATATGTGGGGAATTAGCCAAAAATGAACTCGTTGTAAGGAGTAAAATTATTTTTCAACCTGTTAACACACTAAAAGTATAGGCCAAATTAAATGGCCCAAAGAGCG